TTTTTTTGTGGAACTGGGGATTGAACTCAGGCCCTTGCACTCACCAGAGAAGCACTTATTCCACTGAGCCATCTCCCCAGCCCCTCTGGAGCTTTTTCTTTTTTTTGGTGGAACCAGGGATTGAACTCAGATCCTTGCGTTTGCCAGTCAAGCGCTTATCCTACTGAGCCATCTCCCTGGCCCCTGGAGCTTTTTATTTATGTTTTTATTTTATTTTATTTTTGGTGTTGGGGATCAAACTCAGCACCTTGTGCTTGCCAGGCAGGCACTTATGCCACTAAGCTATCTCCCTGGCCTCCTGGACCTTTCAAATAACAGCACTTGAACCTGTGGTATTTTATTCTGTTACTATGTGTATATATTTTATTTTTATTTTTTCTTCACACAGGATCTTTCTATGTGTAGTGCAGGCTGGACTTGAACTCAAGGCAATCCTCCTGCCTCAGCATCTCTAGTGCTGGGATTACTGATGTGTACCACCTTGCCCAGAGAGTTACTGTACTTTTAATAACAAGTTGGAATTTTGTAGACCAGAAGGGAAAGCCATGACAAAGCATATAATCCAAGCGAGCAGAGACTTGAGATGGGTGGAGCTGGGGGACCTTCCTTTAGAGACCTTAGTTCTCCTAGCGCCCCAATTTACCCCTCAGGAGACAGAGGCCTCTAGGCAGTAGCACCCACTGGGGCCAAGGTCACTGCCCAGGGCCCCTCCCGCAGTCTCCCTCGCTGCCCACCCCAAGTTCTCCATCCTCAGCTACCATAGCACCCGAAGGCCTTCGGGGTCTTTTTCCTTGTTTTGTTTGAGGCTAGGCCCCCCTGCGATGCAGCCTGGGCTGGCCTTGATCTTGCAGCATGATTTTGGCTCTCTTCTCACCTGCTCCATCAAGCTGCCTGCCCGGCCTTTGCAGGGGCGCCTCCACCCGCCCTGGTCTCCACAGAGGAAACCTCAGCCTCCTTCAGATCACCCTCCTAGGCGGGAAGGTGCCTGTTCCTGCCTGGTCCCTCACGCAGGGATGCTGCCCTGGACACAAAGGAGCCCGGGTGGGGGCAGGACTCAACCCAGCCTCTTGTGCAAGTGCTGGTTACTTCCACTCCCCCCCCCC